GCCAGTTTTCTCGATTCTCGATTTTCGCGATTTAAAGTTGGAAATTCTCAGAAATCCAATTCTTGGAATTTTAGGTAGTGCCACCTCTTTGCTGATCATATTCTCCTGATACTTTGCCAGTTTTCTCAATTCTCAATTTTCACGATTTGAATTTGGAAATTCTTGGAAATCCAATTCTCGGAATTTTAGGTAGTGCCACCTCTTTGCTGATCATATTCTCCTGATACTTTGCCAGTTTTCTCAATTCTCTTTTTGTGATTTGAATTTGGAAATTCTCGGAAATCCAATTCTTGGAATTTTTGATAGTGGTTGGAAGAAAATTTCCGACGAATCCAACGCGTCAAAAATTCTATTCCCTATTCCTATTGCCTGTTGCCTGGCATTGTGTGATAGGCTTAAGAGGATCCCGTAGCGGGTCTACCGACATCTATGTATTACCGACAGAATTACCATTTTTGTATATACATGAGCACACGGACACACTACTACGATACATCACACCCATACATAAACACGAAAGTTTTGTACTAACTATACTCTTATTTTAAACGTCTAATCCCAATTTAGAGGGTTTCACAGTAATTCTACATGTCATCGAATCCTAGGAAACTCAGTTTCATGTGAGTACAAGTTGTAGAACTTTTATACGAAGCACAAGTATGACGGAGTGACAGTTCGCGTCTTTGAGGTTATATGTGATCGATCATATGAATTTTGTAATTTTGACTCATTTTTGGTATAAAATTGGAGTTTCCTGGGATCATCAATGCATATACTGTCATTGTACGCAAGCATTTTTGATTCCATGAATTTAATACGACGAAAGGTTATAACTACGAAAATGGTAATTTTGTCGGTAAAACAGACCCGCTACGGGATCCTCTTAAGGACGCAGTTCTTGCAGTTCTTGATTCGTGGACACAGCGCCTTTACAAATAAAACATTGCTTTGGTGGGGAGCGGAATAAATAAAGAGAGAGAAAAAGAGAGAGAGAGAGAGAAAGAGAGAACGGCTTTTCCTTTCGTTCCGGGTCTTCGTAATGTCGCGTGTTCGCGCGAAAGGATATGAAAGAAGAGAAAAGGTGTAACGTTCTCTCCCCGATGAATTTCTATCTGTGAACGCATGATATTCCCCTCTCGCAGATATCTCACGTTTATCTCGATTCCCGGCTTGAGAACAGCCCGTTGGTTATGCGCAACCTTGTTTGAGGCGCGCTAGAACCTTTCTTTAAATACATTTCTTAGTAGATATTGGACATTGAGGTGTACACAAACATTGCATTGCAATACAAGTGTTGCAAACCGTGAATATATATATAAATGTTATACATACGCATGTGACAACGCAAACGGCAATATGAAGTAAGTGGCATTCAAGTGAGACGATTTGCCTGTTTGCGCATCTACTTGTGAACTTACATTTCTGCCGCAGGATAAGCGTTGACGGATTGATCGTTTACTTCCCGTATGATTACATTTATCCCGAGCAGTATGCGTACATGCTGGAGCTCAAGCGTGGCCTGGATGCCAAGGTATCGTCCGTCCTCCCCTGCGCCTCATTGGCATCATCTTGAAGCTGAATAGCCAAATTACGTTTCAGGGCCATTGTCTGCTGGAGATGCCCTCGGGCACTGGCAAAACGATAACTCTGTTGTCGCTCATCGTGGCGTACATGCTGGAGCATCCGTTGGACGTAACGAAATTGATTTACTGCTCCCGGACGATGCCGGAGATAGAAAAAGTTATAGAGGAACTGAAGAAGCTCATGGACTATTACGAGAGGGAGGTCAACAGCAAGCCAAAGATTGTCGGTCTGGTTCTTAGTTCGCGCAAGAACATGTGCATTCACCCCGAGGTAATCGTACCGCGTCATTTGTGCGCTCGCAAAATAGATTGGTTGCGACTGGTTGCGTGTTTGTTGTACGCAGGTCAGTCGGGAGCGAGAAGGTAAGATTGTGGACGGCCGTTGCCACTCGCTCACCGCGTCGTATGTACGGGAGAGACATAATTACGACGAGTCTACTCCGATCTGTAACTTTTACGAGGGGTTCGATATGGAGGGCAGGGAACAAATCGTCCCCCCTGGCATCTACTCCATCGACGACCTGAAGGAATACGGGAAAGATCGTAACTGGTGTCCTTATTTCCTAGCGAGATTTACAGTAAGGGGAGCTTTGTGAATCCTTTTATTTTCGCTTATAAACAATTTAAATAATAAGTCAGGAAAATCAATGGTTTTTATTTTTAATACTTTCAGATCCTGCATGCACAGATTGTAGTGTACAGTTATCATTATTTATTGGATCCAAAGATCGCCGAGACTGTGTCCAAAGAGCTGAGCAAGAGCTCGGTGGTTATCTTCGACGAGGCTCATAACATTGGTACAAGAATCAATCGTTGCGGCGCTGAAGTAATTTACAATGCAAGACAATAAAAGTTTGTTAATTTTAGATAATGTCTGCATCGATTCCATGAGCGTGAAAATAAACAGGAAGTTAATGGAGAGAAGTTCCGCTAACATACAACTGTTGGAAAAAACCGTGGCTGAGTAAGTATAACAAAATCTTACATATCGTGCCTTCTTCAGGTGCTACAGCCTGAGTCAAGCCTTTTGAAGAAGCAGACCTGTCCAGCTTCATAATGTATTAGAATTTATTATACAGATTTTTATAATTTAAAAAAATTAAGTCAAATTTATAGTCGACCAAATTGGCAAGAAATTAGTTTATTTAAAAAGAGGGAGGGCTAATTAAACTAATTACTTGCCGGTTTGGTCGACTACAGATTTGAGACTCAATTTTATTCATTACCGGCGACAATAAGCGCCACTTCATTATTTATAATTTTAATACAGAATGAGAGAAGTCGATGTAAATAAATTGAAGGAAGAGTACGAGAGACTGGTCGAGGGATTGAGGGATGCTCAATTCCAAAGAGAGACCGACGTCATCTTAGCCAACCCTATTTTACCGAACGAGATACTGGAAGGTTGAAAAAGTTGTATTAAAAAAATATTTTTATATGTAAGAGCCAAGCGATTTTTCTCCGTAAAAATTTCTCGTTACAGAGGTCGTTCCGGGTAATATAAGAAACGCCGAGCATTTTGTCAGCTTTCTGAAACGATTCGTCGAATATCTGAAGACTCGCCTGCGCGTTCAACACGTCGTGCAGGAGTCGCCTGCGGCGTTTCTAAAGGATATCCAAACGAAGGTTGCGATCGAGCGAAAACCGTTGCGATTTTGCGCGCAAAGATTAGCGTCTCTCTTGCGCACTATGGAGATAACAGATATCACGGATTTCTCTCCAATAACCCTGGTGACGCATCTTGCGACATTGGTGTCCACGTACACGCACGGCTTCACGATTATAGTGGAACCATTTGACGACAAGACACCGACAGTGTTGAATCCAATTTTACATTTTAGCTGTCTGGATTCTTCCATCGCTATCAAGCCCATATTCGACAGATTCCAGTCCGTGATAATCACTTCTGGAACCTTGTCCCCGTTAGACATGTATCCCAAAATTTTAAACTTTCATCCGGTCATAATGTCATCGTTCACAATGACATTGGCTAGACCGTGTCTTTTACCCATGGTAAGTTACGAAAGGTATTGAACGCGTATGGCCCAAGAAATTTTATCAACGCTCTATCTGTGTCTTCCCAGATTGTTGCCAAAGGTAACGATCAAGTTGCCATTTCGTCGAAATACGAGACACGAGAAGACGTGGCTGTCATAAGAAACTACGGTCAATTGTTGGTCGAATTCGCCGCGACGGTGCCCGACGGCTTGGTCTGTTTTTTTACATCATATTTATATATGGAATCCGTAGTGGCAGCTTGGTACGTACATGCAGATTCAAGGAAGTATATAAATCCTTGACAATTTCCGTATATACATTTAACGTTGCAGGTACGACCAAGGAGTTGTGGACCAACTTCAGAGGCATAAATTATTGTTCATTGAAACGCAGGATTCGGCGGAAACCAGTCTAGCTCTGATCAATTACATAAAAGCTTGCGAGAACGGTAGAGGAGCCGTTCTGCTCTCGGTGGCCCGCGGAAAAGTGTCCGAAGGCGTTGACTTCGATCATCATTTAGGCAGAGCCGTGTTGATGTTTGGTATACCTTACGTATACACGCAGTCGCGTATCTTGAAGGCGCGCTTAGAGTATCTCAGAGATCAGTTTCAGGTAAATCCAATGTGACGTTAAAACCGTAGAACGCTTTTACGTATTTGAACAAGATATATATACGTGTAATATTCTCTAGATCCGAGAGAACGATTTCTTAACTTTCGACGCCATGAGACACGCCGCACAGTGCGTAGGGCGTGCGATCAGAGGAAAAACGGATTACGGTATCATGGTGTTTGCAGATAAGGTACAGCTCTTTAAAGAACAATCTTGTATGCGCTTAAACAAATTTTTTTGCATTTTGCAGTAATATAATACATTTTTTCGCGTTACCAGAGATTCTCAAGAATAGACAAGCGAAGCAAATTACCGAAATGGATACAGGAACATTTGAACGATAGCTTGTGCAACTTGTCAACCGAGGAAGCTATACAGGTAGAGTTAATTTTTCGTTTGGTAGCGGGTGTGATTAGTGATTACAAATTGTCGAGTAATAATGTTTATTTACAATTTTCAGATCAGTAAAAGATGGTTACGACAAATGGCACAGCCATTTACGCGCGAGAACCAGCTTGGATTGTCGTTATTGACGAGAGAACAACTTGAGAAAGAAGAGTCTGCCAAGATCGAACAAAAGGCTCAGCAAAATTGATAGCGCGACATTGGCACTAGGCCGAGCAGTCCGTTTTAGGCAGAGTGATCTGTGCGATTTACAGAAAATATATTTCATATGCTGCTTGTTGTACAAAGGCCTATTCATAATTTGTACTTTCAATCGCAACTATATTATAAGGAATGTAAAATATACTTTTTTCCAATAGCGGCAAGTATTTATCTCGTTGACTTAAGCTTACGTTATCAGGTTCCACAATCTCTCAGCAAGGTTCATTAAGAACATGCGATGCAATTAAAAAAATTTTAATAACAAAGTCATAGAGCGGACTTTAACAGCGTAGAAAATACAGTCGTATCTATAAATATAATTTCTTCGATATCACCATCTCACAAGAACCTGATCACCGTCCTGTATTGAATAATAACTAAGTTCCTGCAGCGGTTTGTCCAACGAGATTTCGTCATTCGATAACTGAAATGTTACAACAATAGTATTTGTACATCGATTAACTATATATTTTTTAAATACAATTTAACATCAAACTTACATTCCGTTGAATAAATGAAAGAGCTGGAATCTTTCCACCGGTTTTAAAAAGTCTTTGAGCAAGCCCAATCATTTTCTGAACTTCCATATCTTTAAGTAACTTTCTCTTAATCCCTCTAGGCTGAAGCGGATCGTTCGGACACACAAACTCCACCGTTATCACATTGGAAACCATTTCTACTTTCGGCTTGGCCGAGGGAATATCCGCAATTCCGTATTCTAAGAGTGCAAAATATTTGTTTTACTTTACACGAAACTACCATTGAATTTTATCTTGCATTTAAAGTACTTTTTTTACTGGCGTATAAGGAATGTAAAATTTATACATACTCCCGACTAAAGTAGGATATCGCGGATGTTCGTTCATGAATGACGCTCTCTTTTCTGAATTACTTTCGGTTTCTAGCCATACTGGTAAATATAGTTTTAAGTAATCGTACTCGGCGCCTCTCCTCTCATCACGAGGTATCTCTGTACCATTTAAGACCTTCAGTTTCGCTATTCTTGCGATTATCAGCTGTCGAGCAGTCTCTGCAGTTTCGTTCTTCAAAATGGGATTTTCTCTGAATTTCAAGTCTTCTAGATTTGACAATTTATCTAGTTCGCTAATCGACTGCCACTAGGATTGTCAAACAATGGTTCAATTAGAAATTTTGATATAAAATTTTGATTGCACAAATGCAAAAAGCGCATTTTTTTTCTTTCAATCAATACTATTCTGTGAAAACTTACCCCTGATATGAGATTTTCCGAAATATGTAGTTGACGTAGCATAGGAAACAAGGCAGTCTTATCTGTTGATGTTGAAGATGGAAATCTAATTCTATCTATTTTATTTAAATTCAAATTAAGATATTCTAAGCTGCAAAAAGAATCTTTTCTTAGTATTACATTAAATATAAGTTTTATGCAAAGAAAATAGATAATAAAGAGGAGAGTTGGATATGCTGTGATACAAACTCACCATGGAAGGGAACCTAGTTTAAGTATCTCATCCCAACTTGATATTAAATTTCCCTCGAGTATCAATGTAATTATTCTCATTAAATTAGCATTTGCCGTTACGTCCTCTACGGTCGTCACGATATTAAAGGAGACTGAAAGTTCTTCGATCGCCGGAAACATGGATATACACTGCCGAATATCGGACCAGTTATAATTCATTCTAGCTATAATTAAATGCTTGACTGTTGGAAACGAATCTTTCAATGCTGTCACATCTTCTACAGGCAGATGGTTCTCACTGTTGAAACCAAAAAAAGGACTTACAGTTGCGTACTATCGACATTTCTTACGTTGCATAATATTGTATAACAATAAGAGTCCGAGGAGGTTTAAAAGATAGGTTTTGTATGACTCACCTGACGTTAAGACGCGTCAGAAAACGTAGCTGGCAACATATGTGCGCTACGATTTGCCACGAGTTTATTAAGTTTCTAGACAAATCCAATTCCTCCAAATTGGGACACAGTCCTTCCAGTTCCCGCGGCTCTCCCGTATCGGATACACACTGCTCCCTCAGCCATACTACCTTCAGCTCGTCGAACTTGCTCTGTTTCCTGTTGACTTTGGAGAAGCCGACGAGTTCCAAGAACGGCGCGTTGATCTCCTTCCTTAAACTCGACACCTCGTCCCTGTCTATGCCGGCTAGTTCGTCGTCGATTAGACCATAGCGCATTTTCACGGCCTGCGGGCAAGATATCCCGAACTTGGCTTTGCCCGGTCGTATGAAAGAGCCCGATGTGGAATGTCTGTTGGAAATTGTACGCAGAGTTACAGATCGCTGCTGCCGTTGCAAAGAAGAGAAACAACGACCGTTTCGTGTACTTGTTACCTGGCTTGAAAGTACTCTACGCCCTCGTACGTGCCATTGTGCTTGCCACGAGTCGAGTCGTCCCAGTCTATACCCAACCACTCTCCCTTGGTGTTTCCAACGGGCCCGACGTATTTCAACGTACCTCGATGTCCGTCGCACTCGATACGGCTTGAGATCTCATACTTTCTATCCTCTACCATACCTGAAAAAGAGAGACGAGACTGACGGTCATCCTGTGGGGAACTGGGCGGTGGAACGCGAGCGAGTGCCTTTAATCACAGGCGGCCGAGTGTAACTCAGGCTCGATAAATCGAACACGGCGCGGATGCTCGTGGGACTTGACGCGCGGGAATTTTACGTGAGGAAACGTACCTATCGGGGGGGATACGGATTGCTTCAGATTGCGGCTGGCAGCGTAACCTCAAACTCAGAGATGCACATTGAGAAAATGTTGGGAGAAGCGGGATATCGCCGCGCAGCGAGGAACGTCTCGGGGCAACGCGGGGAGCGACGTCGTAGACGGATCAGGGGACGAATCACGCACGGTGACTCGCTGCCTCTTTATTTTGTGTCCCGCTAGCGCTTTGCTGTGGAAGGCATTCCTGTCAGGCACCCACACACCGCCCGCACCTGTCACGTATAGTATATATATATATATATATATGTGTGTGTGGGGGGGGGCTACACACACATACGTCTGAATATACAGGGTGTCCTGAAATTCGCGAATCAAAATACCATAGCAAGAAAGTCGTCGAAAAAATAAATTAAAAAGTTATTTGCCATTTTTCGTTCCGAGCAGTAGTTTTTTTTAGATAAAAAGGTTCAAAACAGGCCAATCATACATTACGGTTGAACGGAAACCTGTCCGTGAGTCGTGCGTCGATAGTGTTAGTGCATTAAAAATGGCAAATAACTTTTTAATTTATTTTTTCGACGACTTTCTTGCTATGGTATTTTGATTCGCGAATTTCAGAACACCCTGTATGTATACCTATACATACAGGGTGAGTAAAAACCCATACAGCACAGAGAGATTACAGGAACATTTGCAGAATGAAATCAAATCGCGAAAATCCCGAAAACTGACAAAGTATCAGGAGAACATGATCAGCAAAAAGGTGGCACTATCTGAATTTCCAAGAATTTCAAACTTCAAATCGCGAATCCCGAAAAACTGGAAAAAGTATCAGGAGAACATGATCAGCAAAGAGGTGGCAATAATATTCAGTTCATGAAGGTTTCATTTCGCTGAAGCAACTTGTTTTTTACGTCGATTGAAAATGGCAGAATTTGTGCCCAAAAAAGAGCATTTGCGGGAAATTTTACTTTTATTATGCTGATTTTATAAGGAAAATTCTGATTCATTTTGAGATACATTTAGTAATTTTTCTGCAACTTCCATTTCAGTCTATACAAAATATTCTCATCACTCTTGCTTCTTTTGTGACGCAAAAATACATGGAGACCAAAACTTCTTTTAAAGAAACTGTCTTCTTTTAAAGAAACAGACATAATCCGATAATTTATAATAAAGTGTCAGGCGGTAAAAAATATCAACCGTTTGGAAACGGAAAATAAATATTTTGATTTTATTAGTTGAGAATTCTGTAAACATTACATACTCTACACATATAACGTAATGTAATAATATATAAAAAAAATGTACAATTGTGTGCTAGAAGATATATAGTGCGCATAAATACGTATCATTTTCACTCGCGTTAACTTATATAGTGGTTCTGGTTCCTCACATCTACATATAATCTGAGTTTATATATAATATATACCGAGTTTGATAATAACCTCTGATTGTTTGTTACATAGTAGAACATTACATCCAATACATTGAATTACATTGAATTTAAGAACTTATTGCTCCGGCGCAAGATAAATATTAAGCACCTAACATGTAATTGGCAATGTTAGCGCCATGCAGGATCTCGATCCAGTAACCATCGGGGTCTTTAATAAAGGCGATTCCCTTCATTTTGCCATCATTTGGTTTCTTGACGAACTCCACACCGTACATCTCGAACCTCTGGCAGGCTTTGTCGACGTCAGGTACTGCTATTCCGATGTGGCCTGTATTTCGAGAAGGGAAAGACGACGCGTTACTTGTATAAAATTATAAAACACGTACGCATTCTAGTTTTACTTGTAACTTAGATATAATAACGCATTCAACAATTTTCTTACCAAATCCTTTGGGATCTGCATTTCCATTGTAATATTTTACATCGGGATCTGTTTCTGTTCCCCAATTGCTAAAATATGCGTTCATTTTCTGTATAAAAAACACACCAACTCTCACATATTCGCGCAAAGTCTCTCGAACGTTGTCACGTTATCCTAAACTTACTGTGTTAACTCTATGGTTGCTTTTCTACGGAATGTCCATTCAATACTTTCTCTACGATCGAGTGGTATTTCCTTTTGGTCCTCGTACCCAAGAAAATAAAGAGAGAATTGCATTTCGGGAAAGTCGAGTTTTTGCAGCAAAGTCATTCCGAGGACTTCGGTGTAGAAAGGCAGGGATCTTCTTGGATCTTTTATACGGTACATCGTCTGCTGCATTATGAACCCATTTGTCGAGGGGTCTGGTGTTTTGCAAAGCTTACGAACTTCGCTGTTGCTCAAACCCAACGGCTCACCCATCTGCAATTCAAGATACATATCGTCAGGCTCCTAGAATAATATCAACTGAATAATTTACAATGGCTCGTATGATAAAATCAAGTATAATCAGAGCCTGAACAGGATTGTAATGTTCGAAAGGTATATATACATTTGCTATTATAATAAAGTAATTTTATCGAACATTACAATCCTGTTCAGGCTCTGAGCCCCTTTCATTAGACTTAATATCAACTAAATTCTGATTAATTTAGACAACGATTAATAAACCAACAAACTTGTATACAGTAAAATTGTTAACTGTAAAACTAGTCGTTTCTAATCTAATGTCTTGTTATGTATTAAACAACAAAAGTGATTTCATTCATATTAATAAAATACTACAGGTATTACTGAATGCGAAATAATTGAACAAATTAATCGGAGTTTAAATCATTTTTCTTATAAGAGATTGTATCTTTCTAATTTCATTTGTATAATTTCTTGATTATCTATTTATATTATTTTAGTTTTTTTGCTAAGAAATATATAACAAGGACATGTACAAAATCTTGCGCACGTAATCTACAGTCGCCCAATTATTATCTTTAAACAATAAAGAATCGGATGTCGGCTTTACCGCGAGGCCGGAAACGATAAGCAGAACGATAGCCCGCAGAATTGAAAACCGAAAACTTGTAGCAATTTGCAAAATAATTCCGTCAAATCATACATGTATGTTGTTTCTACGGCGTCGTAATTTTTGTTGTATCGAAACATCGATATTACGGTGGAAAAATTATGCGTATACGTTTTCGCCTTTTGACACTTACGATCACTACGTTCGCAAAAAATAAATCAATTTAATATGACATTTGTATGGTCTATTTCTTTTTGCTTGGGAAACTAAACTTTAGTTTGTTCCGTGCATTTTTATATGTAAAAAAAGATATGACAGCATAATTTTCGACCCTGTAACAATATAATACAAAACTAAAACTACATAGTTACACATTTTTCATTAATTTGTTTATTTTGTAGGAGCAAAAATTGCACCGCTGTACGGACGTATTTCCCATTGTCGACGGCGCATTGTTTTACGTTCGACGTGACACAGAACACTTTGTGGCTTTTGTCACGACGTTTTGAGCATTTATCGACTGCGATTATTTCCGGGCCGAGGAGTTTACAGATAAAACCATCACCGCCATTCAAGGACGCGCCTATTCCCGGCGTCAATATTCGCACACCGCCATATGGCGATTCGAATGGGCTGCAAGAATCGGAGGCAATTGTCAGCGATACATATCGATCGCGTGTCCAACTTCGCGACCCACATTGCACACGCAGCATCCAGAACACAGTGTAGAACCGTATTCTCGTCCGTTCCTCGGGAACCTGCTGCGAAGTAGTTCCCGCAAGTGCGCCTGATCGCAGTTGATTTCGGCCGCGTTATCGCGCTATCGCGCCCACCGATGGTCCTTTATGCGCGGACAACAATTGACCACAGTCCCTTACCTCTTCCTCGAAAGACGCCAGAGTAAATGCAACGCCGTACGCACGAGAAAAAAATTTCGCGCGAGCAAACGCGAGACGAGAGCTGCGTATACGGACGCTTAATGTCGGCAACTGTCTATATATAGCATGCGCATACGCTCGGCGTCATAAAATGTCTTCCACATGAAGTTACACCAATTTTGGGCGTATGTACACTAAGCATGCGCATCGTGCTTAGATATTGACGCGCCGTAACTGCGATTGCAATCAGGAGAACAGTGCTATTGTGAAGCGCGGTTTCGAAGTGACAGCTTCACATTCGACACGTTGCAATTAAATAAAATAAATAGAGGTTATATGCGACAGGTGAAAGCGCGTTTATCTAGCGTCGGTAAGTTATCGACTGTTGGTAACTCGTCCCATTGATAAAAATCGTACAGTGAATTTTTTTTTCAATCTGTCGGAATTGAAATCCTGTAAACTGAGAGTCTCGGAAGTGTCGGTTGTATTCTTGGAATTTTTTATAATGCCACCTACTGTTTGCCGATTCGGTTTTTCTGACACCTCGATTTTTGAGATTCTCAATTTTTTCAGGTTTCAAGATGTGCGAATGTCACGTTCTTAGAAACGCAATTCCTGGAATTCTTGGTATTTTCTTGGAATTTTAATATTACTTAGTCCCAGTCTACAATAGATGATTTAAGCCCTAAGCTTTAAGAAATTGGCCAATCACGGTCAAGTATGAGTAGAATGCGCGACTGTGATTAGTCAATTTCTTAAGGCTTAGGGCTTAAATCTCTATTGTAGACTGGGACTTACCGTCCGATTGTATTCTCTAGATACGTTTATCAATTTTTGTGATTTTCACGTTAAAGTCCTTAAGAGGATCTTAAAGTCCCCGCTTTGTTTTTATGCGTGCTATAATCGTGTGGAAGAATTTTGTAATTTTATAAAGCCAAGTTCAAATTTTTCACTATTAAAAAATTGAAAATTTCAAATACCGATATCTTTTTCATTAAACTTCTGACCTGAGTGTTTTAAGTATACAAATGTTCTGCTGTGCGGTCCGCAACTTATCCTGCCATTATTTTGTGCGTAAAAGCTATAATAAAAAAGATTTACCAGCGCAAAAATTAAACTGTAATATATTGTGACGTCTGAATGAATTCAATTTTCTTTTCTTACCAAAAGGAACTTGTGCGAGTCCATCTAATTCTAACAGAGCAAGTTTGAAGGATCATTTTATTATTATTCGATTTTAACTATTCATTAAAATATTATTAGAAGTAAGAAATTAATTATAAGGGCTACAGATGTAAGAATTAATAATACTTGTAGCGAAAGAAATCCTGCTACGCCGCTTTGAAGCGCAGTAAGTGCTCCTATCTCTCGCGGAATGCAAGCAATGACGATAAAGGCTCGCCGTACTAGCGAGTGCTCTACAAAACGACATTATAATACATTCACAAACCTTATTAATTCGAACCTTTTCCGGGTTTATGCATTAACTATTATTGTAACCAGGGTTGGGCAGATATGTATCTGTAAGTAACTGAGATATGTATTTAGATATACGTATCTTATTTAAATACAGTACTTAAATACCGAATAATCAAAGTATCTTGTATTTTGTAATTAATTATTTAATCTAAGTGTATTTTGTATTTAAATGTATTTATGTAATTACTAAATACATATTTTGCCCCTTTCTTAAATTTAAAGTAAAAAATTATACAGCCAATAACTAGATTATTGGTCTTTATATTTTATTCCTTATTATTGCTATACCCTCATCCCGCAGCCTAAATCATTTAATCGTTATAAAATATATATGCTGTCTTAGCTGTCTATTATTTTATAATTTTTTTTATTTTATAAAGATTTTTATTTTTATTTTATAGTTTGAGTTAAAATAAATAAATTTATTTTTGAAAGCAGAAAGGCAATAAGAATTACCAAAAAGTAATTGTTCTAATAATAATAAGTAAATAAGAGTATATCTCTGTATAACTGTATACTGTACGTTATATCACTATATATGTATAATATTGTATATTAGGGTGGAGCGATTTTGTGTAGAGAAAAGAAAAATTTTTAATTTTACAAAGCCCGTAGGTGAAA